TCCTCCTCCTCCTTCTTCTGGTTTGAGAGAGTCTCACTCTGTCACTTAGGCTGCAATGCAGTGGTGTGATCTCGGCTCACTGCAACCTCTGCCTTCTGAGTTCAAGTGATTCTGCTGCCTTAGCCTCCAGAGTAACAGGGACTACAGGTGTTTCCACACACCCAGCTAATTTTTGCATTAAATAGAGATAGGGTTTCACCATGTTGGCCAGGCTGGTCTCGAACTCCTGACCTCAGGTGATTCACCCACCTCAGCCTCCTAAAGTGCTGGGGTTACAGGTATGAGCCACCGCACCCGACCCTTCTCATGTGTTCTGGCAGGGAATGCTGTTGTCCCCCAAACCTACCCTAAGAGGAAGGTTTCCCCTGGGGAGAGATGCTCACTGTGCCCAGGCCCTGCCCTGACTGGAGCTGGCAGAAAGGGTCCCAGAAGGAGAACTTGTGCCACTCTGCCCAAAGCCAGAGTCCCGAGGCACACACCCCATCAGGCACCAAGGTTAATTCCAACTGCCAGTTAGTATTTAACTTTCCATATACGATTAGATTAAACATGAGGGTTCATAAAAGCCTAGGATTGCAGACTGCAGTTGCAAGGGCTTAGATGGTCGTAAGCTGAAGGTGCCCAGCTGGCTGAGGCTTATGTGCAGCCCAGAAGGGAGCTCGCTAACGCCAGCAAGAAGGTTCAGAACGGCCCAGCTTTGGAAAGGAATTTCATCTTGCCCACACGCTGCATAGGTAAGTCTTAGTACACATTCTTTATTTTTTGAGAAATTAAGTAACAAACTTATCTTTTCCAGAAAATGATCAAAAGAATGGTTTTCCTGGTATATGGCCTGGCTGCCTCATCCACTCTTCCTTCTTTCCTGCTTGTGTTTTCCTTACTTCTTTGTTAGTTGACTTAGCATGAAAATTTTGAGAGTTTTTAAAACGGGGGATTCATGGTAAATGTAGGTAATCATATTGCTTTCTCTTCTTGATATAAAAATGAAAGACTTTGCTGCCTTTTGTAGGCCCAGGTGATGCGAGTGATCGACCATCTTTCAAGAAAAGAAAACTTTGGACTTTGGGGTCAAATGGATGTTACTTTCCTAATAGTGTCCTGATTGCCCTTGTCATGAATAACACACATTCGTGACAGGAATGGCTGGAATTAGGGGATCATTCTGTAGCCTGGAGACAGGGCACAACTAATGACACGTGTAAGCTCAAACCGTGGTCTCCGTCTTGTGTCCTGTACCCAGTTGAGCCGACCGGTCACAGCAATGGAAACGGAGAGTTACTGGAATGTGTGACCTCTGCTAGGATAGTCAGTGCTGGACACTGGCTTGGGTGACATGGGTTCTAGGCCAGGCACTGTGGCCAACTTGAGAGCCCCGTGATCTTGAACAGGTGACTTAAGCTCTCCGGGTTGTAGTTATTCCACCTATCAGAGAGCAGGCCAGCCTAAATCATCTTCTGGGGCCCACCTGTGCCAGGACTCAGCAAGAACCATTCACTGGAAATGTAGCTCCTGCTAGGTTGAAACACATGAACTGCCCATATTTGACCATTTCTGACCTATATAAATGGCTATTTCATATGAGTCCAAATAACAGTTGTCTTAGTATTACTAAAGTAAATGCCTCTTATGATATTCTACTTAGGGGTAGGATAAGTATGTATACCAAATATGGTTTGTTTTGTTTTGATTTTTCAGATAGGGTGTCACTCTGTCATCCACACTGAGTGCAGTGCTGTGATGATGGCTCACTGCAGCTCTGTCCTCCCAGGCTCAAGTGATCCTCTCAAGTAGCTGGGACTATAGTGGGCCACCACATCCACCTAATTTTTTATTTTTTGTAGAGGTGGTGTCTCACTATGTTGTCCAGGCTGATCTCGAACTCCTGGATTCAAGCAATCCTCCCGCCTCAGCCTCCCGAAGTGCTGGGATTACAGGCAAGAACCACTGTGCCTAGCCTCCAAATATGGTTGATGCCTATCAGTTAAATAGTAATTCTGGGAATAAAAAATTGAAGTCAATTCACTGAGAATTTGAATGTCTTAGCATAAAGTCCTTCAATGAAACTGCTTTCGCACACTGTGACTTGGTGTTTTCCCGTGGTCAGGGAGCAGGCGTGGACCACTCAGCCACAGCTCATGCATCCACATTCAAAAAATGATTCCCTTTTGGATCCTATTTATTTGGCCTGCAGGGGTCGGCACTTAGGTATGTAATCCCATAGGCCCTTTCCATCCCTGTGATTAAGTCTTATCAAAAAGCACCTCCTGACCTGCTTAGCAGTCGGGCCTTTGTTCACATTAGAAGGGTTGAACAAATAATGGGCAGTTGGGGCCACTTAGCACGAAAAGCCTGGTGAATGCTGCCATGCCTGCACCTGGAAATCAACCCTGTGACTCCAGGGGAATTCAGCACCGAAGACCCTCATCTCAGAGACCTTTTGTGGTGGAGATTCTTGGATGGGCCTTAGGGGGCCCAGGAGTCCCCTGAAATTGAATGTAGAGCTTCCTATGTGCATATGTATACTTTCTTGGGGAAAAATAAAGTCGCATCACTTTATTTTACTTTTCAGGGATCTGTGACACTGCCCCCCACCCAACCCCGCACCCCTTAAAAATAATGAACCACTCACTGTCCTGGTAGCTTCCAATTGAATTCCACAGAGAGAGGAATTCACCAAATCTTTAGTAAAGATTTGCTATGTGCCCATTGCTGTGTAGGGTCCTGGGATTCAGAGATGATTAAAGCAATCCCTGCTTCCAGGGGTTCAAGCTCTCCTGTCATTGGGTCTCCAGTTACTTAATCTCACTAAACATGGTGAAGGTAGGAGTTTATAGAGTGGTTTTGAGGGTCACATGAATAAGCACGTAATATACGGGCAATTGAAAAACTAAACCAACATGGTCATTTGCAGAAGGAGCACAGAAAAAGGATCTCTGCCTAGACCGGGGGAGGTCAGGGAAAGTCCTGCGGATTGGTGACAACTGGCCAGGGTTCCGGCAAGAGAAAAAGAACGATATCTACAGAGCCAGAGCCTGTCTCTTAATTTAAAAAAAAGGCCTGGCACAGTGGCTCACACCTGCAATCCCAGCACCTTGGGAGGCTGAGGCAGGGGGATCACTTGAGCCTAAGAGTTTGATAACATAGTGAGACCTCATCACTACTTTTTTTATTAGGAAAAAAAGTTAATTAAAAATAAAAGGGCGAGAGAGCTAGTGGCAAAGTACCAGCTCAGCTAACTTTTACAGCATACTGTATCATTTCCAAGGGGAAAAACTCATCTCTGTTACATTGCTTAGGAAGTGTGCTTGGTATACACCTTGAGGGAATCTTATCTATTTGTTTAGTTTCCTTCCAACCCACCTGTGTGGCCAGGAGAGGGAGACAACGATCTTAGAGCTCTCTAAGTAACAGAACTTAAAATATCAGACGGAGAAGAATATATTACCTTGGTGATGGTAATTCTCAGTGAGGAAAATCCTGGGGAGGTATGCTCTGTGGGAGAAATGCCTGCAAGTTTGTTTAATAGGTTTATTTATTCGGTTTATTGAAGTTCCTTTCCCAGACAGGAGATCTGAAACTTCTCTTTTCGCGAAGGAAAGAAAAGTCTTGTGCTAAAGAGACGGGAACGTCTTTAGAACAGCAGCAGGCAAACCCACGCTGGGTTGCTGGAGCTTTTACTAATTGCTAGTCACGGTTTACCGCCTGTCTGTGCTCCTTCCACCCATCTAGGAACCGTGTTCAGCTCCATTTTCTGAGCTCCCTTATCTTTCTATCCATACCTGCTACAACTCTTTGCGCATTGCATTGCATTGGTTTGGTTTCTCCCATTTAGCCGAGCCTCTCACAGAGTTCCTGCCATCTCTGCAGTTTCATCGCCTAGCATAGTACCTGGCACTATGAATTAACATGAATCAAATGTCCACTGAGTGCCTTCTATGTGTCAGACATCTGCTATAGCGAGCTAGACAAAGTTGGCAGACATGACAGCCGAGTGGAAAAGATGAGACCCTAAACCACCTCAACCAATCATCAAACAATAAACACACACACACACACTATATGTTATATACATGTATGTATATAAAAATCTTTTGCCTTGCAATCATTCACCTTGATGTTATGTCTAAAGCCCCACAATTCTCTAAAAACAGAGATGTATAAAAAAGCGCACCTATATAATTCTCTAAAAACAGAGAATATAAATGAGTCATTTATATTTCATTTGACTGACATTTGTTGAGTGCTTGTTATAAATATGGCATTATTCTAGCTGGCGTGAGGTTGCCAATTTTTTTAAAAAAAACAAAAGTAATATAAAGATATGCGCACACATTTAGTTACTGCATATATGAAGCATGCTTTTGAAGCATAAGGTGCTGTTGGAGAAAAATGGTGGTGGTGTTGGGAAATGATTTAGAGAAGAGCCAGGGAAGTCTTCTCAGAAGTGACAAGGAGGCTGGAACCTAAAGAATGAGGAGGTGGAAGGTGGTAGAGAAAGGCAAAGCTATTCTGGGTTGAGAGAACAGAATGTGCTGATGTCCTGAAGCAAGAGAGCTTACGACACGGAGACAAGATGTCAGGTGTGACCGAGCTGTCCTGAGCAAAAGGTAACTGAGGAGGTGGTCAGGAGCCTGCTCAGCCAACGGGGTAAATACTGTTAAAGAATTAGGACTTGATGTTAAGAACAACTCACCATCATTTTAGAAGCAAACAAATGGCACTATAATTTCCCCTTTCAAAAGGGCGCATTGGCCGGGCACGGTGGCTCACGCCTCTCATCCCAGCACTTTGGGAGGCTAAGGCGGGTGGATCACCTGAGGTCAGGAATTTGAGACCAGCCTGGCCAATATGGTGAAATGCCATCTCTACTAAAAATAAAAAAAAATGAGCCGGGCGTGGTGGCACATGCCTGTAATCCCTGCTTGAACCCGGGAGGCGGAGGTTGCAGTGAGCAGAGATTGTGCCACTGCACTCCATCCTGGGTGACAGAGTGAGATTGTCTCAAAAAAAAAAAAAACCCAACAAAAACAGTGGGGCACATTGATGGCTATTCAAGGCAGAGAGCGACACATACAACCCCCAAGAGATGGCCCTGGGGAGGGCTATGTTGTATTACGTTGTTGAGATTGTATTATCCAGGTGAGAGATGCTGGCAGCTGGGCAGTGCCAGTGGGGATGAAAATGTGAGATGGATTTGAGAAATAGGAATAATCTCTCAGATTATTTCTTGGCGTCACTTACTTAAAACGTTTCTTTCAAATGTGGATGTACACATCCCTCCCTTTAGGATACCTGGGACAATGTGTCACCTAGACATAGGGGATGGAACAAATTGGACAGTCTGTCAATGCCCTTTGCCATCTTTTCCCTTGATGTTATGTCAAATGCCCCACAATTCTCTTAAAACAGAGGACATAAATGAGTCATTGCTTCATTCAACTGACGTTTGTTGAGTGCTTGTTATGAATGTGGCATCATTCTAGGTCTTGTGAGGGTATTCATTTTTTAAAAAAACAAAAGTAATGCAAGATTACTGATGAAAATGTGGAATATGAGAAAAGCATAAAGAAGGAAAGATGTATCTTTAAGTACACCACCCACTATTAACATTTTGATCTAGTATTTCTAATGTGTTCTCCATTTTCATATATATGTATACATTTATATGCAATATAGATATCAAAATATATATATAATTGTCTGCCATTAAAATTTTTATTGTACAATAATCATGCATTGTAAATCAGTGAATAAAATGTATATGGTCAGTATAGAGACTAACAAAATATGCATTCAATCACCAGCCAGGTTAGGAAGAAATACTATTACTTCTCCCCCTGCAGCTCCCTACCTCCCTCCCTCCCCTTACGTAGCCAAATCCAGAAAAGACCTGTTTTCCTAACCTTGTTCGCCTGTTTTATTATTTAAACTGCAGCAGGAGGGAAACATGCCTATTTTATCCAATTTCACACGGACGCTGGAAGGCGTCTTCCAAAGGATTTTTATTACTTATATGGACGACTGGCGCAGGAACATGACAGCTGAGCAAGAGGCCCTCCAAGCCAAAGTGGATGCTGAGAACTTCAACTACGTCATCTTGTACCTCATGGTGATGATCGGAATGTTCTCTTTCATCATCGTGGCCATCCTGGTGAGCACCGTGAAGTCCAAGAGACAGGAACACTCCAACGACCCCTACCACCAGTACATCGTAGAGGACTGGCAGGAAAAGTACAAGAGCCAAATCTTGAATCTAGAAGAATCAAAGGCCACCATCCATGAGAATATTGGTGCAGCCGGGTTCCAAATGTCCCCCTGATAAGGGAGAAAGGTACCAGGCCAACACCTGACATCCAGACATGAGATGCCAGTGCCACCAGGCAAATCCAAATCGTCATTGCTTAGAAGAAAGTGAGTTCCTGACTCTCTGTTGAGAATTTTCATGGAGATTATGTGGTTGGCCAATGAAGATAGATGACATTTCAGTCTCAGTGATTTATGCTTGCTTGTTGGAGCAGCATTTTGTGCTGAAGACCTCTTTTACTTTCTGGGCAACTAAATGTCATTTTAATCAATTCAATGGTAAAAATAAAACCAAATTTGAAGTAAAGTGTCTGGGCAGTGGCCGTGGGACAGAAAGGAGAGATTTACAAAGCACTGAATCTTCTTTCTCATGAAACATCATTTGTGTGTGACAAATTCCATTTATAAATAACCCAGATATATTATGTAGAAGCTGAGGTTCAAAAGCTACCACTTACATATGAGATTGACATAGGGTCATTTATCTATAATATTAATTTATGAGTGTTGAGTCTCAAGAGATGAATAAATGAACCATAAGGTTACTTTATATTTATTGTTTTCCTGGTCTTTATTTAGAAATCTTAAGACAGAACAAACATTTCTCCTTTTTCCTTTGAGACAGTGTCTTGCTCTGTCACCCAGGCTGGAGTGAAGTGCTGTAGTCTCGGCTCACTGCAGCCTTAACCTCCGGGGCTCAAGTGATCCTCCCAGCTCAGTCCTCCCTAGTAGCAAGGACTACAGACACGTGTGCCACCACACCCAGTTAATTTTTGTTTTTTTTTTTTTTTGTAAAGACAGGGTCTCACTATGTTGCCCAAGCTGGTCTCGAACCTGAACAAACATTTCAAAGGACAATCCATACCAGAGAAGTCAAATATTTAAGAACTACCCAGTATAACAAGAACATATTTTAAAACTAACATTTAAAGTTCTGCAGAAAATTAATCTCACAAAGTTCTCTTTATTTAAGGAAAAACAGTTATAATGTTGCATTATAAATGTATTCTTTTAACTTAATTTAGTTTTCCCCCATTTACAATTACTTATTTGCATTTATGTTTAAGAAACTAAAGATACAGAAAGGGTCTAAATTGCTGATGCCTTCTGAAGACCTAGACAGGAACTACTTAATGTTTTGTACCATGGGGTGCAGGATATCATAGAATGTCAAGGCTGATCATTCTACTGTTGGCAGAACACTTCATTTATAGATGAGAAAACTACAGTCCACTGAGAGGAGATGATTTCATTCACTAATTCAATCAGGCATCATTGATCTACTTGGTTCACTGGCCTAGACCCCAGGAGTATAAAGATGAACAAGGCTGGGCACAGTGGCTCATGCCTGTAATCCCAGAACTTTTGAGGCCAAGGTGGGCAGATCACTTGAGGTCAGGAGTTCAAGACCAGCCTGGCCAACATGGTGGAACTTCGTCTCTACTAAAAATACAAAAATTAGCCAGGTGTGGTGGCGGGTGCCTGTAATCCCACCTATTGGGGGGCTGAGGCATGAGAATCGCTTGAACCTGGGCGGCGGAGGTTGTAGTGAGCCGAGATTGCATTACTGCACTCCAGACTGGGTGACAGCGTTCAGACTCCATCTCAAAACAAAACAAAACAAAACAAAACAAAAAGATGCACAAGATCCCTAAGCTCAGGGAACTCATACAGTAGAGATGGAGTCAGACGCTAAACATTATGGTACAATGTGACAAAGTCCTAACAGAGATCAATGAAAAAGGGATATGACCAGCCAGCACAGGGACAGGAGGGCATGTCTAACACAGGTCAAGGTCTTCTTTCTCAGAGGAGCTGAGAGGAGCAGGTCAATGGCAGCAGAGAGATGCGGGGCCTCACCATTCCATAGCTAGTTTACCCTGTTCTCCTGACGCCCCAGCCAAGGCACAGCAATGATGGGCAAGGCCTCAAGCCTCAGGGCACTAGGACAAAATTGAGAAAAAGAGCTCTTCTTCAGAGCACGCTTGTAGGACTCCTTACTCCAACCACAAGATTTGTCTCTTTAAAATTACAGAGTGAGATATATACAAGGTATCTACTTCCTAATAACAGATTTGCAATTATGCCACCTAAAGCATTCAGTACAGTGTTAGAGAAAGCCATCCATATTCCAAGAGCAGACGTAGGAAGAACAGCCTCCCTCCTCAGATCAGAAGCCCAGAAATGCTGTCCCACCCAGAAACATCCATCCCAGAGAGCCTAGAGCAGCCATTAGGCTTTAAATCCCAGGCTTCTGCTCTGGATCTAGACAGAAATTCGAGGTTTCTATCAGGTGACAAAGACCCTCTCCTTAACCAAACTATCAAGCCCCTCTGAGTCCTCTTCTTGACTAGAGCCCAACCGTGGCCCTATAAAAACTGCAGACTCTTGGCACAAATGATTTCGCCCACCTTCGCACACTAAGAGACTTAAACACCAGCATAGGTTCTAAGGGCTGAAAGCTAAAGTGTCTGCCTGAGAAAAGTGAATGCTGCCTGAAGAATTTACTATTTGTTCCAACCAAAACCTGGTGACTGGCAGACAGTCCCCTGATCCCTCTCTTAAAGCAGTTACTTTAGAAAGTCTGCCATTATAAATCCTTTCTCTCCCCCTTTGATATGTAAATCTTCTACCATTCAGAACGGTATTGTCTCTTTGAAATGCAAACATTCAAAGTCTCCTTGCTGAGTGGATGCCTTGCTCTTAACTTACTGTCCCCTCATTATAGACAGAAGTTTGTTTCTTCTCTCGATAAAAGCCAATTAATAAACCCAGATCACAATGACCAACCCCTTCCCGCTTTTTATGCATTTCCACTTCCTTCCTGCTCAAGCCCTGCTCCCACTCAGTTACCTTTGCACAAAGGGTAATTTGGGCTGGGCCTCTTTCCTCTGGCAAGAGCTAATGATTTCAGTTAATCCTTGCTGGTATAACTAGTGACTAGCTTTGTTTACCTCTGACACAGGTAAACAAACACATGGAGAGCAAAATCAAATTTTTTCTGGCCGGGTGCGGTGGCTCATGCCTGTAATCCCAGCACTTTGGGAGGCCAAGGTGGGAGGATCACTTGAGGTCAGGAGTTGTAAACCAGCCTGGCCAACATGATGAAACCCCATATCTGGGT